CTCTGTCCACCACTGGTGCCCTGCTCCCTCTCACGCTCTCTCAGACAGTCGAGGCGGCTCTGCATCATGAACTCCCTGCGCCGTCGCTGCTCACGGGCCTTTAGAAGCTGCTGCTTGCGCTCCTCCTTGCTCCAGTAGCGGCCCATCTTCATTTCACTCACAGCATCGTCATCTGTTGTCATGCCGCTGCGTTCCTCTCTGATCTTCATGGCACGCGCCTTCAGGAGGCGATCCCTCACTGGTCGCTTGGCCACGTAGCGTGAACCATCACTGCGGATCTTCACCTTCCACTCCATACGAGGGGAGGTGGGTAGCAGAGGAGGGGATAAGGGTAAAGGTACAGCATCTGGAGCCTGGGCAAAGTCTTTGCATGTACTACCCAAGCTCATTGGGCTTGCATCGCCCCCAGTCTCCAAGCTGCCATTTCTGGGAGCCTCTTCGATTCCTCCAAGCCCCTCAGATGTGGAGGGAGACCTCAGTTGCATGCAGCTCAGGTAACGCTGAGGCGGCTTTGTTTCGGTTTGTCGACGTGACAGATAAGGGCTGTTTTCTGCACTGCGTCCGCCGGCCCTCTCTGCTGTCCCGTTGACCTTGGGGTTGCGTCTCACCCCTCCATCTGAGCCTCTCTGGGTTCCTCCATCCCGAGTCAGGGACCTAACCTTAGCTCCAGAGCTGGATGTTTTCACCTCAGCTCCTCTCCTGTGAGTATGGGGACAGTAGGGTTGGTTTAAGTTTGCTTGCCCCCTATCCCCTCTTTCAGCCCTGGTTCCTCTCTCCCTCTGTCTAGTGGAAGTTGGAAGCTGTGTACCTGTTGAAAGAAGAGCCTCTTCTCGCTCCAGGCTCTGTGTCAAGGGTGAGGGGTACTGTTCGTTAACCAGAGGGGTGCTCCTGCAACTTTCCCCTCCAGTGTTGTAAGCACTCGTACTGTCCTTATCTGAGCGCTCCCTTTCTGGAAGCTCATTGATATCTGACAGAGCATGGTGACAGGACTCCTCACTGGCCAAGGTACCACTATTGTCAAAGCGTCCAGCTCCTGCCCCTGCACTTGCACCATTCTTGTCCTCTGGAGGCCAAGCCTTCAGGCAACGCTCTCTCAGTTGTTGCATCTTCTGAGCCCTCAGGATGTTACGACACTTAAACTCCAAGTGGCGCAGTTCCTCTTCCAGAAGGGCCATCTCATGCTGTGTCAGGCTCTCATTCCTGTTGACATCGAGTGAGACACCCCCTTCTTCTTGTGCGGGCCCTTGGCCTCCCAGCAGCAGCAGAACATTACTGTTTTTCTCATAGTAACACTTGATTTCCAGGAGCTCTTTGTACCTCTCACACTCCTCTTCGGTTAACCCAGGCATCATCATCCTCATCGGATCTCCCATGTAGGCCCTCTCCATTCGCTCCATCTGTTCCAGTCCTCCTCCACTGACACAGTCCAGTCCTAAGAGAGAGTCAGTACTGAACTGCAGGTCCTGGGAGTGCAGCAAGGGTGGAGTGTCCCCTCGGCTGGACAGAAACTTACGCATGCTGCCAGGTGTATTGGTGGCATTTGTGTTGGAGGCACTGGTGTGATCATCTCCCAGAAGGTCGTGTTCTGATGACTCTTCATATCGTGTGCTTTCATCTGTACGGCCCACCCCACTGTCCAGCTCCTGGCTGTTGCTCAGCACGGTCTGGAGCAACTCGGGTGAGTCCCTATTTCCTGAGTGGCTGTGGTCACCTAGTACCCCCCCCCCTGCCACAACACCTGGTCCAGCACCCAGGACGGAGGTGTGGTTCCTCATTTTGTGACTGCTGGGCAGATGGACAGTGTTGTCCAGCGGCTCCAGGTCCAGCTCATCTGGGTCCAGCTGGTTCTCGTTCTGACAGAAAAAGCATGTGTTAGAATGTGCTATATTTTTAAAGCTCTTTTTAGTGTATGCTTAAATGTGTTTAGTAATTATTTTGCCCACTGGGGGCAGGCATGGATGGATTAATGACCAGCCTTGGTCAGGGCCAGGAACTCAGTTTGAAGGGACTGTTAATATTTCTTGGCAGAAAGTCAGTCAAACAATTATAAAGAGACACAAAACAACCACTAAGGCTATCAAGATGTATAAAATGAATGAAGAGACAAAATGTCGACAGAGCCATCTGTTTGAATTTGTGGCTTTTGCTCTTATTGTCCAGCAGGATGGGAATTCTTTACCTGTATGTGTCTCATCATCTCTCCATGGCTCAAAACACAATTCTGACGTATTATCACTTTTGAAGTTGACATGGTTAACATCTCAAACAGCTGCCCATGTTTCACAGATAGAAAGCTGCATAATCATTTATTCATGTTTCTGGCCACCTGATAAATGTCATTTTGTCGTGCACTCTTATTTTAGCTTTGTTTCAGTCCTAATCAATGCCCGACTAAGCTAATCTGACTCTGCTCCACTGCATTCAGCGTCTAGTGGCCAACTCTGTCTTGTTTGTGTTCAGATATTTGAAATTATGATGTTACAAGAAATGAGAATGCAACAAAACTTCAAATCAAATCAAACTGATCAAGTAGAAATAACTGAAAATCTCTGATTGGTTAGAGGTCAGTCCCAATCAAAGCCTTTTAGAAGCTAATATCTCTGCACTGCTGGCAGGAGGCTTTGACAGCACCTCTCCACATTAAGACAAATGTTGGAGCAGATTTCTACAGCAAAGGTATTTGAAAAAAGGTACATACCATAGCTTTAAATCTACTCATTTCAGCAAGTGATTACAGCAGCACATTTCGGCACTGAGAGTAAAGAGTAGCGCTCCTTCCTGTCACTAGATGGTGCTGTAGCAGTATGAGGTTCTTACACCATTTACCTTGAGCTTTTAGTTTGCC